CCTTGGAACTGGAGTTGCAGACTGTTATGAACAGCCAAGATAGTGCTGGGAATTGAACCCTCTAGATCCTGCGTAAGAGCAGCAAATGCTCTTAACCACTGAGCCATCTCTCTAGTCTGACAGGGACTGTTTTTAATGGTAAATTACTATTGGATTAAAAAAATTCCAAAAAAAAACAACCTTCAAATGATTGGATGATATTGGCATAACCAAATTCCTTCCATTACGTTTACTTATTTATGAGAACAGGTTTTCGGTGATTACTTTATACAAATGAACAGTAAATGGTGAAAACGCCATTGACCTTGTCATGTACACAACTCATATGTGGTACAACTGAAAACAAGCAAACAAAGTTCCTCCTATCTTGGGATACAGTTCCAATGAAAGCTGATTTCAAGTTTATGTTGTTTTTTTTTTTAAAAAATCTGGTTAAAATAATAGTTGCAGTGATAACTCAAACCTAAAAGTTTTCTATATTTATACATTTAGGCTCACATAAAATAGAAAATACCAATTTATTGTTAGAATGTTATTTGGATATATGATTGGGTCATAAATCAATAAATAGACTTTTTAATCAAAAGCATTTTATATATAAAAATATCCTGTGAGAATAGTATTGAGAATTAAAATTAAATTTTTACTTATATACTGTTTTTTAAATTTTACATTTTTGTTTTCTTCCTTGAGACAGGATCTCCCTATTTAGCCCAGGCTGTCCTGGAATTCAGTATGTAAACTAGGCTGGCCTCCAACTCATGGTCTTCCCATCTTAGCTTGCTGAATTCAGGGACTGTAACCATCTACTACTATGCCTAGCAAAAATAAAAATGGGTGGAAAGAGGGGGAACAAAAAGCAACATAAAATGGCAGAATGTTAAGCAGATGTGTATGGTGCTTAAATTTCACTGAATGTTTAATTGAGTAATTTATCAAATTACTTAAGAGTTTCACTGCTAGCACATGCTGGGAATTAAATCTTTTACAGCTGTTTGCATATAAGAGAGAAATTAAACATGGCCCCATCTTTAGTGCTACCATGAAAACGCATTGGTTCTATGCAACATGTTCTTGTTGCCTTGTGTGTGAATCTTCCTGCCAGTTTTGTTTATAGGAGGCGTGGCTTCCTAGATCTGCTTAGAGTACAGAGTCACTCTCGTCATCTGTGCCTGTGTCTCCCCTCTTCCCACCTCTCACAACACTCATCTAACTTGCATATAGCATAAAGTGTACAAAGAAATGGCCTGCATGTTCTTATGATTTGCAGACTGTCTACTGCTTAATAACTTAAATTATAGTTAAAATCCAAGTTTACCTCTCTAATTTTTTTAACATTAAAAACTTAATTCCTGTGCAGTTCAGTTTTGTCAGTTTTGAAATGTGGGTACTTATGGCCATGAATATTGTAAGAAATAAATTAGTCAACACATGGAAACTATAGCAGTACAGGGTTAATACTGGTGTACTGTTATTATAATATGAGTAACTAATACTGCTATGCTGTTATAATAACAAGAGGGATTAATGTTACTGTGCTGTTATTATAGCAGGAGGGATTAATAATATAGCTATACTGTTATAGCAGGAGGGAGGGATTAATATTATAGCTATACTGTTATTATAGCAGGAGGGATTAATAATATAGCTATACTGTTATAGCAGGAGGGAGGGATTAATATTATAGCTATACTGTTATTATAGCAGGAGGGATTAATACTGTTGTGCTGTTATTATAGCAGGAGGGATTAATAACATAGCTATACTGTTATTATAGCAGGAGGGATTAATACTGCTGTGCTGTTATTATAGCAGGAAGGATTAATAATATGGCTATACTGTTATAGCAGAAGGGAGGGATTAATATTATAGCTATACTGTTATTATAGCAGGAGGGATTAATACTGCTGTGCTGTTATTATAGCAGGAGGGATTAATAACATAGCTATACTGTTATTATAGCAGGAGGGATTAATACTGCTGTGCTGTTATTATAGCAGGAAGGATTAATATTATAACTATACTGTTGTTATAACAAGAGGGATTAATGCTGCTATGCTGTTGTTTACAGAAGTGACAAATACCCATATACTATTACTACAGTGAGATATATTAATACTGCAGTACTGCTATACTGTTAATTTAACAAAAGTGATTAATACCCGGTATGCTATTTTTTAATCAATTTTGCACATAGTTTTCTGAGTTTTTCATAACTTTTTCCATCATTTTTGCTTTTAGTAGCTTATATGTATTCTAGAAAACTCTTTAAAAATTTGAGTACATATCACATCCATCAATTCGTTTGGCTTTTATTATATTTCAATATATAATTACAAACCACATAAGCCCTTTTTGTACTCTTTCAATTCCACTTGAATACCAAGATTTCCACTTTACTTTTCAGATTTAATTTTATGTATAACTAGAGAAATATCCATAAAAATGTGGAGATTATGAATTCTTAATGAACTGGGGTTTATTTGTTTATGTTGGAATTAAAGAGTTACATCAGGGGTCTAGCTACCTAGCAACAAAATGCCCTTCTCTTTTCTCATGAATAGCCTTTGGATTTTTTGATAAATTATTTGCTCAGGGTATTTAAAGAGGAAAGAGAGGAAGCAGTAGTCAGAAGTTTGGACTTAAACCTTCTGAAGTCTCTTATCACTTTGTAAGGGTTTTTTCATTTTCTCCATCACCATTCATATCATGCCCATTGCTCTTGGTTAGCCTTCCCTCTCTATTTACTTTTAAAGACTTAGTGTGTGTGTGTGTGTGTGTGTGTGTGTGTGTGTGTGTGTGTGTGTGTGTGTGTAGGTGCCTGTGGAATCCAGAGGAAGCGCAGGTTCCCCTTGAAGTGAGATCCTACGGAAGTTATTGGCATCTCTTAGCCTCCTGGCATGGATGTTAAGAACTGAACTCAAGTCCTCTGGAAGAACAGGGGTAGCTACGTACACCTCACAGATGAAATGTCTGGAGGACTTCTACTTTTGTTGTCTTGAGCACTGACTGTTGGTGGACTAATCTCATCTTAAACTTTCCATTTACTTTTGAAGTACTGACAGGGAGATCATCATATAATCCAGAATGACATATTTCATGGAGCATCCTCTTTACTCGAGTTGCAGGCATCATAATATCTATTGTAAAATGGAAAGGAAGCAAGACAATTAATGTCATGACATTGGAAATTTAATTATTTGCTCAGTGTCCCATAGTTGATGAATACTGGATTGAGTTTTGTAAGCAAAACTGTATACTTTTAGGAAACCTGCCAAGCCAAGGAGCATATGTACAATAATCTAGTCTATCCCAGTTCATTTATTCTTGCATTCACTAATTTCTTCAATCATGGAACAGCATTGAATATCTCTATGTCTATATAGGTAACTAACAGATGTTAATAGTCTGCTATAATAATTTTGAGAAACTTTATGCCATGAATAATATATTACTTTTTAAAAGGTGAAGTTTATGTTATATATATTTTACTTGAAAGATCTTGACTTTTCAAGTATTTTTTTTATAAATGGAAACAAAATACTAGAGTGATTTTTTTTTTTTTGTTTTTTTCGAGACAGGGTTTCTCTGTGTAGCTTTGCGCCTTTTCATGGAACTCACTTGGTAGTCCAGGCTGGCCTTGAACTCACAGAGATCCGCCTGGCTCTGCCCCCCGAGTGCTGGGATTAAAGGCGTGCGCCACCACCGCCTGGCTGTGATTTTTTTTTTTTAATCAAGGCAGGGGGCTCATCTCCATTCATAATCACTAGTGTAAGTTACATATATGTGTTTAAAAATAACTATGTTTTTCAATAAGAAGCTAGCGTAATATCATCTGGGGACTCAAGTCGCAAATGGAAGTAAATCTCATAGTAAAATGCTCATAGGAAATATAAGTTATGGTGATTCCCAGCAGTTCAAATATTCCTGACATATCATATGGAATTAATGCAATAACCCAACATGCGTGAATGTACAATTTATACAACATGAAAAATATGTGTCATTCAAGACAATAAAAATCTTTGAACTTATATTTAAAAAGCTCAGTAATTTGACATAGATCTAAGTAATTAAAACAGGGGTAATAATAATAAAGGTAACTCAGTTGACTGCTTGTGATATACTATTTTTTTTCAGATCTTTCTTTTTAGGATTAACACACTTAATCTTTACAGCTACACTATGGGACAAGTATTGCCATGACTCATATTTCAAGGAGGTGTGGGAACTTGTTGAAGAAAATTAGAGAAGTTGTAGGACCAGGATTACAAAGCTATCTTCCTTCAGTATCCATATTTTATGATATGTATTATCTATTTTATATTCCATATTCTTTATTCCATTTTCTATATTGTCTTTCTATTTGGGATAACTGGGGATAATGTTTTTTCTTTTCTTCTCTAACAGATTTTTTTTTAAAAAAAATCATGATTAAAACACATTCTAGATTCTCTCCTCTCATTTCTATTCTTCCTTTTGTTACTGAATGAAACAAACAAAAATTAATTAATCAAAGGAACAAGAGGTTTTAATGTCAAAACAACTTTAAAATTGTTCATTCAAATGTAGCTTTAAAGTGTAGATAGGTCTCTGTGTAGATAATGTCTCTGTAGCTTGGAAATTTTCTCTGCATTATTAGCTCTGCATAATTTTCTTTTCTCATGCCCAGGTTTCTTGAATGAATTTTCTGACAGGTTTTGATTTTGCTGGAATAAAGCAAAACAAAACAAAACAAAAATAAAATAAAAACTAAACAAAACACAAAAACAAGAACAAAACCCTTGACAAAACAAAACAACAACAACAAAAACCACCAAAGTGCAGAGGAACGTAGGAGAGAGCGTACTTGAGGCTAAACCATTTCTCAATAAAGAACACTGTCCGGAATGGTAACTAAAACTGAATGTGTTGCGTTGCTATGACTAATGCTGTAGAGCACAAATAACACATTTATATGGCATCTATAATTCACTGGATACTTTTCTATTTTGCTTTTTAGCAAGAAGCTGTTTACTCTTCAAAATACCCTGGTGAGTAGTTAGTGCAGTTGGTAATTTTACCCAATTTATAGGTAAAGCAGGTAAAATATGGAGATGTTAAGCAATTTAACAAGGGTTACAACCCTAATAATTTATTAGGTTTGAGTCCAAACAATTTAGCTTTAGATCTGGTCCTTAACAAATATGTCTGGTGGCATACTTACGTTAGAAATTCTAGCAACTATATTTTCAAATAGAAAATAAAGTCTAACAACTATTCTTTGAGAATGAACTACGTTATTCATTTGATTGGGGGACTTTACATTCCAGGTAATTTAAACTTAGAACTTATTGCTGTTAAAAAAAAAAAAATGACTTCGAAAGAAGTCATGCTTTCAAAGGCCACAAAGTCAATTTACATGCCAATGTATATTTTCAGAGGGAAACTATGTTTTAAAAATCTGAAGCTTTTCTTAAGTTGAAATCTTGTCTTACATTTGGTTTAATTTATCTTTCTTTTTAAAATGTTGGCCCCTTATTTACTTTGGACCTCAACTGGCATGCCTTAAATTTTGCTCTGCCCCTGGCCAGGTGCTCGGCTTTGGAGGAGTGGTAACTGGGGACAAAGAGTCTTCTGCTGCAGCTCTTGCCTGTGGCTTTCTCTAATGGTGATGGATCATTGGGGGCATGCTAGTCCCCATGCAGTTGTTCTGGGATTATGTTTTATAATCTAGCCGCTTTGGTTTGACACACTTAATATGCTGGCTTTCTGGAAACTACATTAACTCTTTCAGGAGACTAGATAGTATGTAATATTCTGAAGCTGGAATTTCCTATGTCATCCTCTTGAACCCTAAAATAATAAATTTTACTTCCAGATGTGCCCAGTTTTGGAGAAATGAGTTTAGCTCTCAAGTCTCATGAGAAGTGATTCAGGAAATGTTGATGATGATGATGATGATGATGATGATGATAATGATGATAATGATACCAGAGATATAAACCAATCAAATGTGTTTATAGCTAATATAAATGCTATTTTCATTCCCTGCCTGACATTTTTCTTAACTATCTCATTGAATCTGAACAAATATATCTTACAATTTTTTTATTAATTTTAATGTTTAACTTTTGCTTCTCTTGTGTTCAACATGACATATGTAACCCTTTTTTAATACTAGTATTTTTATGCTGTTTATGTTTCACTTTAACTACTTTTATATCTTACAATAAATGTGATTCTTTGAATTTTGATAGTACAGGATGAGTATCCTTTATCTTAAATGCTTGGAAACAGGAGCATTCTGGATTCTGAATTTTTAGATTTTTGAAGATTTGCATAGTTAGATATATTTGGGATAATATCAAGGTCTGAGCACAAATGCATTTATGTCTCACATATACATGCAGCCCAAGGTTAATTATATATATTATATATATTTATCTGAGACTGGCCATAGACCGTCAACTGTGGTGTCTCCTTGGTTTTCAAAAGGGTCAGGTTTTGCGACACTTTAGATTTTGGACTTTCAGATTAGAGATGTTCAACCTGTAGCTCTTTCATTTCTTAGAGGATTAATAATCTCTTTGGGTTTCACTAGCTATTATTATTATTATTATGATGATGATGATGATGATGATGATGATGATGTCATTTATGTTTGTATGTGTGGTTTGTGTTCAAGCATGTTTAGGGATATGTATGTGCATGTGGAGAACCAAAGTTGACATTTAGTGTCTTACATTATCACTCTTGACTTTTTATTTATTGATACAGTATCCGTTACTGAACATGGACCCAGACAGTTCTAGCTAATCAAGCTAGTCTTGTCCCGGGGATCCAGTTTCTGATTCCCAAGTGCTCAGATTACAGGTAGTTATGACAACTGTCTTGCTTTTACATGTGTTCTGGGGATTGAAGTCTGCTCCTAATGTTTGTGGGACAAGTACTTCATCTGTTGAGTGATCTCTCCAGTCCCAACTAATACTATATTTACCTTATACACTAATATTATTGATACGGTTTATTTAATGACTGATTTATCAGTGGACATTTAAATTCTTTCACTTTTTAAGTTGCCACATGTATGTGCTTATGTAGCAATACCAATTAAAGAAGAAATTATGAATTTGAGAGCGAGTGAGGGCTTATGGGAAGAGCTGGAGTGTAGCGAGGGAAGGTTGAAAATGACACAATGCAGTACTCATATATAAATTTCTCAAAAATAAAAGATACTGAAGTTTTAATTTTTTTCCATGTTAACTAGTGGAAGTTATTCAAGTCTGTAAGTGGAGCGTAGCAGAAGTGTGCTTGCCCTGGATGGAGAGGCCTTGGGTTAACTCGGCAGCATTGATGGAAGAGAACAGAAGGTGAGTTATTCATTTTAGACCACAGTGTACAGTGCATGAGTAGTGGTGGATAGATATTTAAAATTTCTAGCCTTCACTGTAAAGATAAATATGTATTTAGACATATTAGACATCCCAAGCCTGAGAGGAATTGGAAGCACACTAGCTTTTCTAAGAGTTGTTATGCTGCGGTGACCAGGTTTGTCTTCATGGTTTATAGTAATGTTCTAATCACAGGTTCAGAAGCCAATAGGAATAAAAATAATTTCAAGATGATGAATAGGCTTTGTATAACATTATTTTCAACCTTTTTCTATTTAACTAGCATTCCCGAGGCTGTAAAAATTATAATTAACATTTATTGGTCATTTACTATATACCGGGTACTATTACAAACAAATGATATATATTATCTCACATTCTGGATGTTAATTTGATATAACAGGAAGCATCCAGCTATGTCTTAAATTAACTATATTATAGTAATAAAATGTTGTTAGTCGAGCTTTCCAGAACATACCAAAATGTAAATTCCCAGAAAGGTTTCTTCACATGAAAGTTGGTTCTGCTGTGTGGATAGCAAAGCCACTGGGATGTGAACTTCAGGTAGCAGTTTACCACGATGTCCATTTTTTCGTGGTTAGGGTTTCCTTGACTAAACTTGTACTAAACATTTTTTATTATTATCACAGAGATGTGGCACTTTGTTTTTTATTTAATAGTACAACCTAAACATTCTTTAAAGGATTAAGTATATATTTTATTTTAAGTTACAACATTAAGTTGATTAATTTAGTTAAAACTTGGCTTGTACAATCCAACATGTCTTTAAATTAGTCCCTTAACCTTTAAGATAGTGGGGAAAAACCTGTGAGGTGTATAATTAAAAAAGAAATTCAATATGATCATTTTGGAACTAAATATATGAAATTTCAAATTTCCTATCATTGTTTTAAGAATTATCATGGTTACTAAGAATAAAGGTATATTGTTACTTGATAAAGACCAGACTGGTATGAGTCCTTTTGACTTCCTTTCTGGACACATCCTCCATCTTAGTTAAACCTAACTTTGTCTCTTTTATGTTTGACCTAAGGATGTTATGATAAAGCACATTTATAGCTATCTCCCCACTTCTGTACTCAAAATCTCCATAATTGGATGATGTTTATTTTTTTTTTAATAAATCACTTTCTAATTCTGATTTTTTTCCAGGACTACTGTTTTTGTCTGTTGAGATCACTGATTAAGTCTTCCCAGTGTCCTGCCATGGCTTTTTACATCCTAGAGGATGGAGATTTCAAGTTTCAGAACTAATTTATTTATGTATAATTTACTATTTTGGGGGTGGTAGTCAAATTTAATTAATGTCTCAAAATAAGATGATTCTCCTGACTTCTTAAACTTGTACCCCTCTAAATGCTATGGTTAAGACTCTGACCTTTTGAGTTTCCATTTAGAGGTCTCATGTTTTATATGGACAGTATTATTTCTATAAACCTAGTTTTTTTTTTTTTTTTTTTTTTTTGTGTGTGTGTGTGTGTGTGTGTGTGTGTGTGTGTGTGTGTGTGCGTGTGTGTGTGTGTGTGTTAATGTGCCATTTGGTAGTGTTCAGAGGACAACTTGCAGAAGTAGATTTACTTCTTCTACCATGTTAGTCCAGGGGATAGAACTTAGGTTGTGAGTCTTGGCAGGAAATTCCTCTATCTTCTGAGCCATCTTACCAGCCAAATGCATTATGTTTCTGAGATCAGAATATGTCTTGCACTTATTTTTAAAACTTTTGTTATTTTTTCCTTAGCGAAGTATGAAAATATAAAATCTTGAATTTGGCTCAGTCTTGATTGAAGGACTAGCATTTTCTCCAGGGATAAGTGGTCTTCAGCTTAGGATGCTTCAACTGACCATTTATTCCGGCTTTGTTTTTCAACTTTATGAAGGTACAAAAGTGACAGGAATCCAATAGAAACTGCACTTGGAATTTTGTGGGTTGTTCTCTTCCCAGCCCGGTGCCGTGAGGCTGTATTATTTGTAATAGTAGGCAAAGGCTGTGAGTCCTAGCTCCCGGTCAGTCATACACCTGCTTAGTTAAATCTTAAGATAGGATTTCTTCTATTTTGTCACTAACATGTACTAGTGAATGTGTTGTGGGCAAATTTAAGGATGACTCAGATGACACATGATGTTTGTGGTAGGTCAGTCATCCTCAACACATGTTCTACATGTGATACTTTCAGGTGATGATGTTTTTGTTGGAATTTAACCATGCTGTATGTCCAGGGGCATCTGTAATATATTATGTTTTAAAAGATTATTCACTTCCTGACCTAATGAATGTTTCTTCATCCTTTAAAACTAAGGTTCAGAGATAAGTTCTTTGAGAAGAACTTGTGTGGACTCCCACACTGTCCTTGATCATTTTTGATCCTGTGTTGGCTTCTGGTGAAAAATGTTCTTGTGCAGGGCAGCCACTTCCTTCTATGTCTGTCTCTCTCTTTACATTTAGCTCCTTCAACATCCAGTCTTGTTTAAAAAAAATCTCAAGTCTTTGGAGAGTTTAATATAAAATGGTGATGGAGAGACCTTTGGATATCTGTCCTAGCTATAGGCTTGGAGGGCCTGAGTGGTGTAGACTGAAGGCTTTAGTAGAGGCAGGAGGCTTATTAACAAACTAGCCTTTCATGAGGGCCTAACTGGTGAGGACTGTCAGCCAAAGCCTCTCGGAACCAACAGGTACATTGATACTCTACACGGATGGTCACAGATGGAGGGTCCTCAACTTTTCAGCCACTATAGTTTTTGTCCATTTAAGGACTTAAAAAAGTTGGCATGCTTGTATATTGAAGTTCTTTTATTGTAAATTTGGATTCTGTTAGGGAAGAGAAAGTTGAGAAGTTAGTACTATAAAGAACAGGCTTTTCATTTAAAAATTTCTTTTAATTGATAACTTATAATTCATAATTACGATGCAGTATATATGAGCCCCTTTGCTCATAGGTTAATAAAACAAGAGTCTGGGCTGGAGAGATGGCTCACCAACATGAATACTTGCTGCTGTGGCACAGAATCCAAGTTCAGTTTTCAGTACCCATGTTATGGCAGCTACAGTTCATAACTCAAATTCCTGGGCATTTGGTATTCTCTTCTGACCCCTGAAGGCACCAAGCATGCATGTGCTGCAAGACATACCTGTGGGAATAAAACATTCATACGTATAAAATAATTTTTTTTTTTTAAAGAATAAAGAGTCCTTCTTCAGAGTTAGTGAGGCTGGGTGTCAGTACAGAGCCCTGCCAACTATTATTTCTGACAAAGCTTACATCCAATTGACATCATAGTGTTTCCAATGTCTTAAAATTAAGGAAAATAGGAGAATATCTGCAGATCCTATCACGTAAGGACAAAGGTCAGCACTGCATGTAGAAAACAATTCTATTTATGACTGAGGAAAGATGAACACACATCGCTGTGAAAATGTGTACTCATCCAATACAGTTTTCATTTTTTATGCACTTGCTGACTGTAGTGCTCTTTCATTTCCCCTCCCTCAAGTTTTCTGTGCTATTATCCACTTTTAGATAACATCAGCTTCAAGGGACCCTGGTGATATGGCCATCATAAAGGCAGAATCGCAAAACAAAAGCCCGCTTTAACAACCCATGTAACCACTTTCAATCTCTACTAGTGCTTAACTCCATTTGGAACTTCTAAATTGAACAATGCCAAAGTTTGTGAAATAGATACTTGAGTGGAAGACACTGTAAAAGGAAGAACTAAAGAAATGGTAGAACACATTAAATAGGACCATCAATTCCTTTAGCACCACATTCTGTTTAATCAGGGTCTGTAGAGAAAATTGATCTCTCCCTTAAACTTCCTAACACAGACAGTGTTTCTGAGGAACTTGTCTAACGTAGGCACACACTGAAAAAGGGCCGGCTCCTTATTGAGAGCTAAACCATGCCACTGACCATGTAACTGACCACTTTGTGATGCATTTGTTTTTCTAAGTTTAGCGCAGTGCCTGGGAAACTGCAGGAGAGGAACAGGGTTCTAAGGGAACAAATCTGTTTTACATTTGTGTCTTTTCATCATCTTATTCTGCTTGTGATCTGCATCATTTCATTTGCAGCCCAGATAGTTGTTCCTTGCTGGCTTTATTGCGTTCAGTTTCAACTGCAAATTAGGTGGTATTCTGGGACAAGTGGAGAGCAAGATTGATTTCTGTACTTTATATTCACTATTCCTTTTGAAGGCAGATATTTTGCAAGATAATTTCAATGAGATACTATGTTGATTTGAGTTCAATGAATTATGGCAAAACCCACGCCTTTCATGACTTAATCAGGGCAAAAGGTGCAGAGCTGTGTGGCAGCAAGAGGTGAAGATAGAGACACAGCAGTCCCTCAAATAAAGATTAAAGGTGAGGAGGTCGCAGGAGTGGAGGAGCTGAAATATCAGTGGCAGGAGTATTAATATGTTTTTAAGTGAAAATGAAATCTCTTATATAATTGTGAATAGAGATTAGAGAATATAGGATTCCATCTAAGTTGTACTCAGTAGTTGAAAACAGTTTCCCGGTTGTGTTTTGGAAATTAGGAAAAATTTACATGTATATGCATGTACTAGTCTGTAAATATATGCATATGTAGGTTCCGGTAAGTGCAGTACTCTGTCCTCTGGATGTAGAGGTAGAGCCACCTGATGTGGGCTCTTGGACTTGAACTCAGGTTCTCCCCAAGATCTGTATATACTTTTAACTGAGAAGCAATCTTTCTAGTGATAAAATTTTTTTTAAAAATAATTCCATTTGTTGGGCTATCACATTTTAATTTATATATTTTTTTATATTTTAAAATTAGTTGTTAAGTATTTTTAATAGCTGTTTAAAGTTAAAAGATGCATGATTATTATTTAAAATAAAAATGAGACCAGAAAAGTACCTAATGTCAAGGAATTTCTGGCACTCCGCCTCCATTGGTGAAACTCTGAGCTTGGTATATACCCTTCCACTTTAGACC